CTAGCGTTGCGCGTGATCTTGAGTCACTCGTGACTCAGACTGTGAGTACAATTGTGTGCAGCCACCGACGAAGTGCCAAGCTTTCATCAACAGAAGCTTGCTCAACTCTTCAAAGAACCTGTGACTGGTCACTCGGTGTACGCACTCCAGCTCAACACTGACCTTTCTGCTGACGTGGCCGGCGTGCGCTCGCTCTCGAGGGCGAATCGGCTTGTTTTGATCTCACGGCCTCGCCTTCAAAAGGGCGCACTCGGTCGCTTACATTCACCTCGTTGCCCTCCACTCGCTCGACAACGAATACCAGCAGCACACCCGCGCACACTATACTCGACTCCTTCAGTGAACAGCAACTCCCACGCAAGACCCGCAACATGCTCTCTCGCCTTGTCAAGCTTCTGCCTTCAGCTTTGCGCGGCTTTCAGACCCAGGCGCCATTGCAAGCAGCACCCACCTTGGCATCTCTGACCCCAGCTTCTCTGACCATCGGTCCCTCTGTCATCGATGTCGTTTCTTTCACTGGTCCAGCTCGTCCGTTGCGTCGAGTAGGCATGATGCCTCTGCCCAACAACCGCATCTCCACTTCCTTTGCAGACCTTCGCAGCGCTTCAAAGCCGAGCATGCGCATGCACACCATCTCCGAGCCCGGCACTTCGAAAGCAGAGGAGATGTGCAAGCCTGCTAGAGCCGCTGAAACGTTCGAGCATGCCAACGAGGTCACAAACAATGTCCAGTCCGCCGTTTCGGAGGAAGACGTGTCAGTACAGACTCATCACGATGACCTACGTCAAGCGCTCGAGCCTGGATCCATCATCAAATCCGGTTCGCACGAGACTGGCTTTGGTCGTCTGGGCGAGTCTGCTTGATTATACGCAAGGACTTTGACGTCAGACGCTAGGTGAGGGTCCTTGCTCCGCTCGCAGTCTCTGCACCCAGCTCTTTCTCTTGGATCGCGTCCATACTCACTCGATCATCGACCCCCTTCGCGCAGCCCAAGCGACGTAACTCACGTTCATGGAGCGACGACGACTTCTTCACATGTGCTCCGTGCCTGGTTGCGAGCCTGGATGGGACTTTTGCCGCACACCAGAGTGCAGCTTCGCTGCCGCACCACAAGAGCAATGGCAACACACAAGCAGGCCTCCACACTCAGCAGCAATGCTCCGAGCAACTCACACTGCAGTCTTCCGAAATCATCATCGGCTCGACCAACCCTTTGTCTCCTCGCCCCCCTTTTCCTCGAAGACAGCTATGCAAGATTGGCACCAAAGCCATTGTAATGTCATTTCGTTTGGCTCGGCCTGACCATCTGCTGTGTAGCGTAGACAGTGGCCAAGCTTCGAAACAGAGCAAGGTGCGCGTCATGTACGCCTTATAAAGGGCATCAAGCGGGAGTGGTCGAGACATGGACGTCGAGCAAGCCTCTTCATTGTGCACCCGCGTTGTGGGATATGGCTCGAAACGCACGGATGCTTCCTGTCTGCGCTGCAAACGCAGTCACGAGTGGCTGAAGGGATGACTTGCACGCACGCGCGAGTGGGATGCTCAGAAGCGCCGCGCGGCGTAGTCGTGAGTGTGTGGGATCGTTGCAGGCGGAATGTAGGTACTTGTATTAAAGTCTTTGAATCGTGACTCACAGACTTCAAGTCGATGCTATTCGTCAGCCCCAGCCCGCTTTTGAATAGATTGACTTGGCTAATAAAAGCAAGCCATTCAAGATCGAGTCAACATCTACGGTTCCTGCTTGCACGTACCAGACACGAGTAGGAGCTCGTGCGTGCAAACTGCTTTGATGCATTCGTCTCACACCGACGTCGCACTCGCCACTCACCAAACCTCTGATCCGCGAACGCGTGGAGCGCACGCATGCACGCAGCATCTCGCTACGTGTCATCATCGAACTTCGTTGACAATCACTCGACCTTTGCTGCGGAGCGAGCAGCTCATCAAAGACGACGCATACAGTCGCATGCCCCGTGTCCTACCCGCATCGACATGCTCTCCACGACAGCACCATCAATGCAAATCGCAACAGCACCAGATGACCCTTTCTCATCAAACCTCTTCTTTTCGCCACGGTCCACATCCG